GGTGTGTGGTGCTGCGGTCCGTGGCTCAGGCAGCTGTAGCAGGGGGAGCTCAGGAGAGAAGATGGAGGACGCCAGGGTCTGGCGCTGGCCCGCTGGGCACAGCTGGGCCGTCTCCCGTGACTCAGACACGGTGTCCAGCACCGTAGCGTCCCTGTCAGATCCTCAGCGGAGGGCACAGGCCACAGCGGACACCCGGCTCTTCAATCGCTCATGCACAGCATGGTCCCCACCTCCAAATTGGGGGAAGCCCTTTCGACTTCGAGTGTCTCTTCCCTCTGGCATTTCCTCCCCGGTCGGCTAAGCCCTCCGCGCTCTCGCTATGATATGCATCTCATGGCTAGATGGCCTTCCAACTCGAGCAGGGAATCCCACTGGGGTGCAGCCTCAGATCCTCCCAGTGTGGAGGGAAACACTTCCCACGCGTAGAGATGTCATTACTGGGTTATTCTTGGGTGAAGGGCTGAGCCTCCCCATCCTCCCCTTCACTCCAAGATAGGATGTGAAATTCTATCCCAACACCCCTCCTCTCCCGCCAAAAATAAAAACAAGTGAGATAGTATAGACAAGAAATTATTTTAGTCCTTTAGTACAGTCTGTTTCCTCCTTCACCCCCAGAACAAAAATCGAACTTCTGGTTGGACAGCGTCAGGAGATGTCACTGAGGTGACCCCAGCCTCTGTTTGCAGTTCCAAGTCTTCCGTGTAGGCGTCACTGCTACTGGAACTTTGTAGATGAGGAGCCTGTATGATGATGTCCTGAACATTTCTATCCTTTCCTCACACAGAGGGTAGCTACTGGGAATATCAGAGACAAGCTATTATTAAACAAGTGTCTCTAGTCCAAGACATCTCCTGTGGCAGGGAAATGAGGGGGCAGGCTGTATCAGTGATATTTTTATAAACTCTGCTTTTAGGAAACATTCTTCAGATGGACGCATTAAGACTTCAACATTTTCCAAAACCAACTGAATCTTATCCCCTCCATTTTTCCCCCTCCAGACACTTCTAATCAAGGTCACCATCTCCAACTTCCCCCATAGACAATAAAAATATGGCTGGAGAATTCTACTGTAATAGAAAACCAAGGAGATACAATAATTTGACAGTGTGTTTCCTTTCCATCCACTAGACAAGAATACCCCCTCCCATTCTTTCCTCCCCTCAGTCACCAGAATGAAGGGGCTGGAAAACGTTGGTCTGGTTCCTTTTAGAGCTGATTCCCCATTGGATACTGCCTGGAGGCCTTGGGGGAGAAGTTCTGCAGTTTGGATCAGTAGCAGAAGCAGGTAACACATCAGGGAACCGGTCAGCCTAAGACAGGAGGGGACAGAAAATGATGAAAGAGTTTCTGATACATTTATCAGCTAAATTGCTATGGGTGACCCCCATGTCTCCTGTAATGTCCAAACCTAAGGAATTAACTAAGTAAACTAAAACCTTTATGTTCTTGCTCTGACCTTGGACAATGGAATTCTTTTTATTTTCATTCAGTGGACAGCAAATCTGCTTCTTCCCTGCCTTAACTCAAGGTCTGTGATGCACTCCTGAGTTTTCCTTCTTCCCTGCATAGTCTCTCTTCCCTAGCTACTGCCTTTCAAATTGGTGAAAATGAAGCTTCAAGATTATGAAAACCAGTACTTAATGAAGACCATTATTCTAATGACAATATCACTGGGCTCTTTTGAACTTGTTATGCTGGGATCTAGAAACCCTTTCCCCAGCAATCTTTCACACAGCACCTCTGGGGAGGGGTTTCCCACTAACAGGAAACAGAGGTCAAGTGAAAACAGTCCAGTTCTCATTACTGAAGAAATAAGATTCAGAAGAATCACTTTTCTTGAGGAAAATGGCTAATTCTATTTCTATCTATAAGACAAAACCAGAATTGTTGATTGCTCCTCAAACATCTTTAAAAAGAAAATTAACTTTTTAAGTTCATATAAATTTTAAACACTGAGCTACTTTCCAGAAGGAAAATATTCAGAAGTTTGAAACAAGTACTCAAAAACAATCAGTTCCAACTGTTAGAGGAATATAATGAAATCAGTATGATCAAATGCTCCATCCGTACCTAGAAGGGGCTATTTCTACCTTTAGGACAGACAATTTCTCTAACCAAACAAAAAGGAGCCCTCTCCTTAAGTGAATTTCCACAGACTATCTACTGGGGTCCAGTCAAAAGACAGATGTTCAAAGACAGTAAATTCATCTTGATTATTGTAAACAGTTTTCGGTGAGTAAATGGTATTACCTTCAGCCATGATGAATAAAGCGTCTAAACCAAAAATACAATGTGCCTACACCCACCCAAACAAAAGTCAGATCCCCAACTTGCCCTATTCAGGTTCCTCTCTCCTCCTCCCACACTCCAAGTTGTATAACCTGTCACCTAACCTTTTAGGGTCTCAGCTTCCTCATCTGGAAAATGAGAACAAAATATCTACCTCACAATGGCCACCTGTGAATTTAATGAGAAATATATGTAAGATGCTTAGAACATTTTCCAGAAATAACAGATGTGAAATAAATATTTTTATTGGTGCTATCGAGCAGTTCCAGATTAACTTTGAGGCTGGGAACTCTGCACATAAGCTCTGAGTCAGTTAATTATTCCTTTTACTTTTTCCAAGTGACAGGTTTTCTCCCATCCATTTCTCCTTCAAAGAACCCTAAGGTAAACGGGCAAAGGGCTAATGACACATAACAAAGGAAGATGCCTATTAAAATCTGTTGTTCTAAACACAACTTTTAGTAAACATTAGAAAGCAACAGGATATTTCCTTCCTCATTTGGAGAGAATTTTAAAGTCCTGTGAATACACTGAGGATGTGGATTACAGACTTAGAATCCTAGGAAAAGGAAGTATCTCTGCTGTTGTTAATTACCTGTCCCCAGCTAAGACTGCTCCACAAACTAAAAACAAATCCAAAACTTTCAGTAGGGAATATCTAGTTAGAAGCTTCAAATTGACAAGTTAATGGACCAACTCCTTATGCAAAAAAAGCCAGAACTGACAATTAACAAATAGTAAAAATCAAAATTGCAATATTTACAAATACCAAAAAGTACTGGCCAGAAAGAAATAACCCTTCCATATCAGCCTCAATACAATCAGGAGAAAAAGCAACATATTTTCAAAGTGACACCTCCCCCCCTTCCCCGCTTAAATACTCCAAACTCCTCAGGGAGGAAAGCAGAAGTTATCTCCTCACTACCCAAACTGGATAACCACACTAAAGGCAAATGAAGCCATTTGCCTTTGACCCATGTGGTCAGAAGTCAGGTTTTGTTTCAATTCTACCACCTGAAGTATCACCAGGAGTTATTTGTTTTAACTGGCAAGGTGAAGAAAGGGAAACAAGAATTCTTTTTCCCTGAATACCCATTTAAATTCCTTGACAACTGGAACAAAGTCATAGAGAGCAAAGGGACAATGTAACAAATCTACCCATTTTCCTAGTAGACACTGAGTTCAACTGGTAGTCGAGGGCTTTTAATTAAAACATTCTATTGTTTCTAAGAATGTTCACACAATCCAATACTTCAAAAATGAGTCTAAAGCCATGGAAACACATTTATCACCTTCACACTTGTTGAAGGACACCTGCAAAAATCAACACTAAACCTAGGCATTTGCATAGAAATACTAACTTCCATTTTATAACTCCCTTTTAATGACAGGGGAGAATATCCAACAAATAGCAAGTAAAATAGCATAGATCACAAGGAAAGAAACTAAGACAAGTCAAAAATACACCAAGTAAGAAATTCAATACAACTGGAAAACATACCATAGGCACCAACATTCCTCCTTTGGACACCTGTTCCTTATTGCCCTCAGATGCCCCAGGACAGGGTAATGGCTGAGCATGGAAAAAGTAGGTAATAGGTCACACAAACTTGGTGGTCCTGCACCAAACTACAGAGATTAGCTCAATTATAGCATTGTGCTAATAGTCAAAAAATAAATTCCTATACAAAGTTTATTGGGTACAGAGGTGAACCTCTTCTCATTGGCTCTAGCCTCCACCCCAAATACATCCCACCAGTTAAGAGGGATATAATGACACTAACAGCATTGTTTAGTGTCATGTGCACCTATCTACATCACCAGAAAAAAAATACTGTTCATATGCAAAAAAAAAAATTACTAATTGTTAATGTCTGGCCCAATGTTCTTGTGAAGAGCAAGGCAGGGCAAAAACATGTTATCAATAGTCTATCCAAACTCCAAGAGAAACATCTCCAGTTTTTCTTCAGAGTCAATTTGATCTTCATCTGAGGGTCCCTCCATTCTTGGTAGTGAGAAGAACAGTGAATAATGAAAACAGGTGTTCAGAAACCTAGGCAGTATGCTCCCTGGGTAAGGAAGGTGAGCAGCAGTGACCTAAGACACTTACATGACCTCATGTCTAGCAAGACCAAACTTTGAGAAAGCTGTTCCATTCTAGAAAACAATGCCAACAGATGGCAACACAAGGCTTAGATAAGATCTGGCTTAGACTCCAGAAAAGGGAATTAACTTTTTAAAGGATGTTTCTTGACTTTGAGAAGTAGAAAGTGCCTAAAGGGCCAGACACGGTGGCTCACACCTGTAATCCCAGCACTTTGGGAGTCCGAGGCGGGTGGATCACCAGGTCAGGAGATCGAGACCATCCTGGCTAACACGGTGAAATCCTGTCTCTACTAAAAATACAAAAATCAGCCAGGCATGCTGGTGGGCGTCTGTAGTCCCAGCTACTCGGGAGGCTGAGGCAGGAGAATGGCGTGAACCCAGGAGGCAGAGCTTATGGTGAGCCAAGATCGTGCCACTGCACTCCAGCAGCCTGGGTGACAAAGCGAGACTCCATCTCAAAAAAAAAAAAAAAAAAAAACAGTGCCTGAAGTTCTACATTCAGTCATCTGGTCCCAGCATAAAAGCAGGTGAAGGGGCCTACTGAGCTGGTTGTTAAAAGCGCTACACATGGACAACAGCTGTACTCAGCATTTACTCTTTAAGCTGTGAATAACACACCAAGCTTACCTGCTGCTGTCCACAAATACTACTTGAAGCACTTCACCCTTGGTTGCCTGAGTAGTGGCAGAAAGCTCTCTGCTAGGCCTGAGGGAAGACCAGAATTCCTAGAGGACAGGACAGATTTTGACCTGATGAACAATTATTAAGGTACACAGGGAAGAATCTAGATTTTTTCCTTTGAAGTACCTTTGGTCTCTAACAAAGCACACAAGGCTCTATTCAACTAGCTGACAGAAGTTAATTAGCCCTCTACCCCCAGGGCCTGATCCTGCCCTCTGCTAGCTTTTTGTTTTACTGACCTTACATAAGTTCCACCTCCTCAGCTTCACCTCCCTCCTCCAGCTGTTTCCTCTTATTTCTCCAGCTTCCTCTTTCTTCCCACCACTCCTTTCACTTTCTCCCTTTTCATTCAGAAATGAATGCTCAGAGAGCAGATGGCAAGTAGTCAACCCAAGCCAGTGAAAACACTTCCTGAGCACCTGGTACAAAGACCAGAAACACACAGTAGGTGTTGGAATACAGAATACATATTATCTCTGTCCTTTAGCAGTTCATACTTTAAAGGAGAAAGTCATCATATACTCATTCCTCACATATGAAAGTATATTTTCAGGCCAATTTATAATATGGGACAAAAAAATCCCTTAGTGATACTTCTTGGGGACGAGAGGATTGTTTGCATCAGAACTGGTAACTTTTACTCCTACAGTAATTTTTCCGTGGCCTCCTACATAGCACATCTAGTGAAGCTGATTCTGAAGCCTGAGGAAGCCCCAGGTATGTTCTATACACTGTAGCTGAGGCGTTACTCTAATCAGTTAAGAAAAGCACATGAAAAGTCCAAGTTGGTACTACGTGTGATTAGTCTTCTCCCCAGAGAACTAAGAAAATTCAGGTAAACTTGACTATTAGAGGGTAGGTTTGGAGTTTGTTCCAGTGATCTCCTTAAAAATGACTTAGGAGTTTGAGAGAAAACTCCTGTGGGAAACAGGGAGGAGAAAGGGATGGGGCACAAATACACATCTCAAATCAGTAGGTTACTCTTTAGCTGTTTCTCCCAATGGCTTGAAGAGCCCTGGTAAACACCCAGTCCTCGATATATCAAACGGACAGCACTCAGAGACAGCTCAGATACAGCCCCACATTAAAGCTGTGGTGAGAATTCCAACCCAGAAAGATGTAGTGACGATTTCCAAAGGCCAGCCAGGACACCCCAGGGACTAACTTCCCAGTTCATAATTAATCATCTTGAATACAAAACAAAGACCTCTCTAATGTGAACTCTCCTTAGAAAAATGGCTCGTGTGTAGAATTATCCCAGAACTATTATGGAAGCATTAGTATTTCAGTAAAATAATTACTGAGCACCTACTAAATGCCAGGAGCTGTACTGTCACTGGGGATACTTCTAAGAATATTCTCTAGTGAAGAAACCAAGACTTGCAAAGAAATAATTATAAAACAGTTACAGACATTTGTACAAAGTGTTTAAGGAGCACTGGGAAAGGAAATTTTTAAAGGACTATTTGCTCATTTGTTTTCACGTGATAGTTTTGACACTGTAGATTACCAACTAGGGTTGCTGAATACAAAAACTGATACCTAAGAGGTTGTATGCATATGCTAAGTGTAATGCAAACATTTTTATTGGAAACTGGAAGTTACCACACACTGGCTTTTAAAACTCATCTTCCTAGAGTGGGTCATTTTTGTGGATCTGTTACTAATACAAATTTAAGTGTATACTCAGCTATCAACACAAATGCAGATGTTTTAAACATTTACCCTTTCACAGTTTCTTTTCTATGATTTTTTTTGTGGGGCTGCTGTATAGTTATTGAGTGGCTACCAGGCCCTGGCCACTGTGTGACCAGCTGTACTCCTGTGGCCAGCCTCAATGGTAGAGGTCAAAAGAGGGCAAGGGCTTCTCTGAGAGAGCTGGCTATGCACTGCACACTGGAAAGCCAAGGAGCTAGGCATCCCACTTTCTTGCTGCCAGGCTCTGGACCATGGCCACTGTGACTAGATGTAGTCTCTACTCTAGAACAACCCTCAGTACACAGGTTAAGAACATGGATCAAAGACAGCACCATGGGACACCCTGCTGGCATCTGGTAGATATTACAGGTGTTTTTCACTTGGGTCAGACTTTTCTCCCCAAGGCCTCCCAACTGGAAAAAGCAGGCTGGCTTTAAAAAACAACCTGGTAGTAAAACAAACAAGAATTTCTCATCACAAAACCTGGATTCAAGTTCTGGGCCTGCCACTTTAACATCTCTGAGCCTATTTCCTCAAACTGCAAAATGAGACTAAATACTACATGAGGATTAATATGAGCCACAGTATCAGGACTGGGAACAATGGCTCACACCTGTAACCCCAGCACTTTAAGGAAGTCAAGGTGGGAGGACTGCTTGAGCCCAGGAGTTCAAAAACAGTCTGAGAAACAGAGCAAGACCCTATCTCTACAAAAAATATATAAAAGGTAGCAAGGGCATAAACCCAAATTTGAGGTTACTATTCTAGGAATATGCGTGATCTGAAGAACAGTGTCTCAGATTTAAGCTACGTGGCACACCAGCCTAAGATTTCAATAATATATTTATTGACAAACATTTATTAAGGTATAGGTACTAGCATTCTGGACATCTTAGAAGAAATGTCAAAAAGTTAAAAACATAGCCTCTGGGGGGCCAGGCGCAGTGGCTTATGCCTCTAATCCCAGCACGTTGAAGGCCGAGGCGGGCAGATCACGAGGTCAGGAGTTTGAGACCAGCCTGGCCAACATAGTGAAACCCTGTCTCTACTAAAAATACAAAAAATTAGCGGGTAACTGTAATCCCAGCTACTTGGGAGGCTGAGGCAGGAGAATCGCTTGAACCCAGGAGGTGGAGGTTGCAGTGAGCCGAGATTGCGCCACTGCACTCCAGCCCAGGTGACAGTGCGAGACGCCATCTAGAAAACAAACAAACAAAAAACAAAACAAAAAAACAAACACAGCCTTTGCTCCCGGTTTACTATGTAGCTGAGGGAAACAAAACATACATGTTGAACTAGAGAACAGCTTAAAGTCAACATGTGCATGCATGTGTAGCACACTTTTTAAAACATGCTGAAGCAAAGCAAAGCAGAAACAATGCAATTAGTTCAAGAATGCTTCAGTCATTAGGTGTGATCATGAAGGACTGAGATTTTTAATGGCAAAAGGAACAGGGCTGCTTATGGGATTTAGGGTGTGGGGTGTTAAAATGTATGAATGCTGGGTCTCTTGGTTTTGCGAGCATTGTTTAAGCTAGCTGATCCTATAAACCTGAAGACCAGAGTCAGGGTCCTGAAGTAATGCTTAAGACTCCCAACCCAAGGAATAATATACATACACACTAGTCTCTTCACAATACATCATTGTGTATTAATCTCTTTACGTATAGTTACCAACAACAACAAAAAAGAACCAAAATGATTCTATCCCAAAGAGAAATATGCAGAAATTCTCATTGAGGCAGTACCACTAAATTCAGAGGCAACTTAAAGCTTCTTCTGTAAGAAGCTTAAAAGAGAATGACTGAAAAAGGATACCTAGGAGGCAACTACTTAGTCTTCTAGGGGACAATGTCATCAGTTCTTGGTGATCTGTACTGAAAGTGTGCATAGCTTACAACAAAACCACTTACTTTGGTCTTACAATTGGTCTTACTTTGCAAGACCAATTCTGGGAGCAACATTTACTTATCCATTATACTTGGACTTAGGCTAGCATTTAAATTAATTCAAAATTTCTGGCTTCACATCTGAGGAGTTATTAGTATTAAAATACCTTCTCCAATAATCCACCCAGTTAACGAACAGCTTGTGAAACAGACTTCTACAGTGCTTTGCTTTTAGGGAGTATTAAGTTCTTTCCATCTCGCCAATCAATATTAAACTGTCAGCATTGCATTTAGCTT